TTTGAAAATTATCTTATTTATTTATATTTTTATTTAAAGAATTCTCTGCGATTAAGGGAACAATAAGACTTGCAAGAAGACCCGCCACTGGTGGGAAACCACTCCCATTTTGAATTTTATCGCAGAGTAGCAGGCGCTTAGCCGAAGAAGCGCTTCGCGAGCGACTAAGTTTACGTAATAATGATGCCTGATTTTGTAGATTTTGTATTCTGTTTTTATGAAATGGGAGCCTCCCTTTTAACAAATTCAAGCAAATTTCAACTAGACATAGTAATTGTTCATCAGAAGCGTTTGAAATAATTTTATTAACTGCATTTTTTGATTTTGAGCAAGTCAATAAATTATTTAGAAAGTTTGCGTTTTTTTCGATTAAAAAACTAGTTGGAAAAATTTTATTTTTCATTTTGGAAGATAAATAATTGTATTTTCGTTTGGATATATATGTGTTCTCAGTCGAAGGACTTCAGGACTGGATGGATGAATATCAACCAACAGATAACCAAAGTTTTCCTTTGTTGCATCCCCATAAGCTTCTAAAAAATATTTTGAGTGTGAAGGGAAAATTTGCATGGCAAGTGTTCTAATTTGTAACGCTCCCGCGGGGTTTCTCATTAATAATAAATAGTGAGAATTATTACGAGGAATTTTAAGTTCTTTCGAAAATAAGTGCTGACTAATTAGAATTACACTCATCTTCCAATTATGGGACCCCCTTGTAAATATTGTTTCAATAAGACGCTGATCTATCCCAACCATTAAATCATCTAGTACCAATAGCATAGAACCCTCTGATTGAATTGCTTGCTTATGAATAAAGTCCTCTCCCCCACTTGGCATCCCATTATGAACAATGACCCGTGTTTTTCCATTATCAACATATCCTTTTCTTTGCATGAGTAAAATATTTTTATTTAATTCCCCATAACAATAGAAAACAAGCGAAATATTTGTATCAGAATTAATCAACTCTGTTAAATTGTCTAAAAATTTTTTAACCCATTCTGATTTACCAGACCCAGTACTCCCTGAAACTATCATTGTAAAAGGATGCTTGAATTGTGTATGTAAATAATCAATTTTTTCGAATCCTTCCATTTACTTGCTATAGTAGATTAAAAAATTTAGATTCTAATATTCTTCATTATATATATATTATTACATTTTCTTTTATTCTTTTTTACAAAAAATGAATTTTAATTCCTTCAACACATTCGGCCATTGGGGTGTATTCGAAACCCAGGAAGAAAAGCAAATACGCGAACAACAGGAGAAGGAACAACAACGTGAATTACAGCAACAAGAAACAGAATCGTATGAACATACTTCAAAAAATAGGGAAATGGAAAATGTAATTAATTTTTTGCTTTATCTAACTTTACTTTCTATTTAGAATGAAATCGATCTCTTGATCACCTCGCTTGGATTAACCTCTCTGGTTAATGAAATTGGCGAGGACAAAAATAAGGATGGTTTGAAGGCTAATGACGAAAAAATACTCGAGATAGTAATAGAAAGCGATGAAGAAAATGAAAAAGAAAGTATTGATCCAACAAATGTATCAGAAAAAAAGGAAGAAAAGGAAAAAGACGTTAAGAAGGAGGAAAACCCTTTTATTGGGCCAAAACCAGTTGAAATAGAAAACCCGTTACCATTATCAATTTTGAAACGTCGCTCAGTGCCTTTAATTGATTATCTATGTCAACTACACAACTGTGCATTCAAAGAGCTTCATGTACTTTTCTATAACATCGAAAAACGCCGAGAAATAATTTTACACTTACAAAATCAAGTTCAACTACGTACATCACATTTACTTCCTTATAAAAATTTTGTTATTCGGTGCAACGATTTTACTGTCCAACCAGCAAGTATTGTTCCTGCGATGGGCGGATATTTGAATATAACGGTAATATTTTAAAAATTTAAAGATAAAATGTTAAATTAAGGTACGAGGGTACTACTATGTAAAACATGGCATCAAATTACACCACCCATACTTGCCATGCTTAATTGAATTTGGAGGAGGACACCATCGTTCTTACTACCCGCTCGAAGTTATTTGTGTTTCTAAGAAAAGTAAACAGATGAAAAAATGCTAAATAATAATATATTATTTATAGAAATTTTATTTAAAGTATATTTTGTATTCTTATTATAATTCTTATATTTTATTTTTATTTTAGAAAGTAAATATGAATATCGAAAATTGTACATGTGTTTTTAAGCTTTTGCCAGGCATTCAAAGATTTTCATCAGAAAATTTTCTCAAAATAGCTAGATGCGGCATAAATACTGAATATAATCCTAAGCGATTCCACTCAATAATAATGCGTATTCGACATAAACATAACAGAACAACCGCAGCATTAATTTTTCAATCTAGTAAAGTGGTGCTAACAGGTGTTCCCAACATTAGGTTAGCTAGAAAAATGGCTTCAATAGTGCTAAAAAGAATAAAATTTTCTATAAAAGAAGCAAAAATACAAAAATTTTCTGAGCTTGGAATCATAAGCCTTAAAGTTACAAATATTGTTAGCTCATATCGAAGTATGAACCGAGTTGCGATTGAATTGATATATCAGGAATTCAGAAGGCGACATAAATATGACAAATTATTTGAAAAAATAACAAAAGTTTCCTATGATCCCACAATATTTCCAGCTTTGAGATTCAAGATGAATGATGACAAGTTTAAAAGAGAAGCTTCATGTCTTATCTATATTTCTGGGCGTGTTATATTAACCGGAATAAATTCTACTAAACAGGTCGAATATTTATTCGATAACATAATTTTACCCCTACTTGTAAAATTTCCAAGAATGTAATAAAAAATATTTATATTGAAAAAACAAATTCTAATATAATATCAATGAAAATAAAATTAAAAAATAAAAATTTATCTATATCGTCTTAAATAATCTACATCCGTCCAATTCGAAGAACTAGGAATAGCTTGTAAATCCAAAATGGGATGTTGTTGGTATTGTTGTTGTTGTTGGTGAACTTGAACATGTGGTTGCTGAATTATTCGAGCCTAAACATAATTTTATAGAAAATTTTATATTTTTAATAAAAAAATATCAAATTTATTTTTAAAATTAATTTAATACCTCTTGTTGTTGTTCCAAAACATTTCCGTGCCCAAATGGTAGCGTTTCCATATTTGGCCGAATCCTTCCTTTTTCAAAACAAACTCTGTAGTCTTTCCTAGCCATTATTGTATAAAGATCAGAACGTGTTGTGCGTCCAATTTGAGGAAATTCTACACTAATTATGTTGTTAGAATCCAATATACAATTTTCAGAAGCCATATCATCACTAAAATTTATTATTATTATTTTTTTTAATTTATAAATTACATTTCCCCATCAATATTAAATTGACAAATAACAAGTTGTTTCATTGTTTGAAAATTTATCAGTTGGTGTGTTGCATAAGAAAGTGGAAAAGATCTTATTTTTAGCTCGGCCCTTTCATCCCTCCCAGTGGCCGCATCAACATGTCGAAATCCATAATTTTTTGGACCGCCAGAAATAAATTCAAGTATTTTCCTTCCAAGATGTTCTCGCTTCATTTGGCCCAGAGCTTCCCCTTCGCCGACAAAATTGCCCCCACATTTTTTGACATAGAATATCGAGTCGGTGTCACAGTACAAAAGCTGTCCATTAATTTGCTTAACTTCCTCCATATATTTATAAAGATGTAGTCGTGCGTATGATGTTACAAATGCAGCCACGTGAAGACAATTAGTGTCTGGAGGTTTGGCGAATTCTTCCTTTTTGCGCACCACACACCGGTCCATAAATTCGCTGACATGCTCAAAATCAAGGGTTTCGAGCGTTGGGTCCTCCAACAATTGATGGAATTCTTCAGGTGTTCTTGCATACTTAACTTCGGTTGTCCCCACACGTTGAGCCAATTTTCCCCACAAAGAATTTGCCAATATTTTCTAAAAAAATATATATTTCATTTAAAATTTTTTTATATCCCACCGCAATCATTCGAAGTCCAGGATTTATTTCCACTTTTGCTGGATCCATTCTAATCCCTTCAACTCGATCAAATTCGGCAATGTAACGATTGCGAGCCTCTTGTGAATCGCAGTTTTCGGGCCACCCGCTAGCCTGTTGTTTAAGGCCTACAAAAGTATTAACATATCCTTTAAACAGTTCTGGGTCCCAGCGATCATAATTCCACACCTAAAAGATTAAGGTTAAAAATAATATAGGGAAATCAAGAGAAAAATAACCTCGTAAATATCTAAAATCTGGTAGCCCAACTCTAACGCCTTATTCAACTCCACATGGGTGTAGCCACTAATCCAAGATCTTTGCTTCATTGAATGACGACATTGTTGTTGTTGTTTGTTGTCCGCACACGAAGAACACAGAGGAAAAGTCAGACGACCATCATGTGTTCTGTACCCAAGAAGTGGAGGAAGGCCATTCATTGATGTTGGCGGTAGAACACGGACTAATAAAAGCCCCTTATATCTATTGTGACGGGGGTGAGTCCATGGTAGAACAGCATTAGGTGGTTGCGTAAGAGTTTCTCTTGTCAAAACATCGGGATATCCAATCGGGAATTCTCTTGCCTTCATCACATATGGATATAGACTGACCTTAATTTTATTCCAAATTTTAAAATTAATTTTAAAAATCACTATATCAATGTAGATTATCTCCTCATCAGGTTTACAAATGTGGTGAAGTTTGAAAGGCTCAGTCCTTCCCCCTCTAAGACAGTCCTTCCGAGGGTCCATCGGGCGTACAACATCAATTTCATTCCAAGTTCGCTTTAGTTGTTGATTAAAGCGTAGCCTTTCCTTCATCTCATGTCCCCACACGACGTGTAAAGAATATCCCTGTTGTTCAAGTTCATAGAGTCGCGATTGAGTGCGCTCGTACAGTTCTTCAGCAGTGCGACCACCAGCTAGTCTCTGGTCGCGTATCGGGAAGCATTGAGGACAACCTGTAAAAAAAGTTTTAAAAAAATTTTTACTAATGCCAATAAATATTACCATGGTAGTAGCACCCATTATATTCAATTGCAAGAGGTCTTAAAGGTGGAATTCTATACCAAAGTCCATCAAGACGGTAGCCACAATCTTCAACATTAGCTTCACCAATAGCCCATTGGGCACCCCGCACTTTTCCTTCAGCTTCTTTATTTTCCAGTTCAAATAATTTAATATAGCGCTGCGACTCAGCAGAAGCTCTCCTTCCACGCAGAAAACCACCTTCTGGCGAATGCACAAGCCAATTTTCAGGTAGAAAACAACGTCGCATTGTTGTTAGTGCGAGTCCTGCTGCGGTGGAAGCAGCTAAGAATGGGTCAATTCCCCCGCTGTTTTCTCCAATGAGATGGCGAAATCGAAGAACACTTTCCCGAAGGATTGCAACATCGTTTGCACAATAAATCACAAGTTGTTCGCGGAGCTGGAAATTTGTTGTTGGTAAGTTCGTTTGTTGTTGATGCCATTCAAGTAGTTTGGCTCGTTTCTCCGGTTTTTTAAAGTCTGGTTGGTAGTACTCAAGTGCTGGGAGCCCTTGAATTCGCAAATGCAGATGTTGTCGCATTATATAAAGGTATGGAAAGAATGGTTTTGATGTAGCAACATCCGCAGGTAGAGAAAATACTTTAGTAAGAGCGTCAAGCTCGCAGATGAAAAAATTGAGCGAGTCTTTAAAAAGTATTTTCCTTTGTCGATTGCCCCCAATTCTCATTGAGTAGATCTTAAGTCCGGTCGTACAGAGACTTTTTGGAGGTAAATTTCTTCTATGGAGCGCTTCAAGAATTAGGTGGAAGTCATATTTGCCCCCGTTGTGAGCGATACACACAGTTAACATTTGTTGAGAGCCATACTAAATTATTTTTTCAATAAAAATATAAATTTAAAAAGCACCGATAGAAGATAATCCAAAAATTGATCCACAGGATTTTCTGCTTCGCTATCAAAGCTATGAAAATACATTCGCCGAGGATTATAGGCAGGCGTCTCAGGCAAATTGGTGTTGTCCCCAGGTGCATTTCTGAAGGGTGGTGAGCACCAACGTTGCCATCTTTCCCCTCTTGGCACACCACAGAAACATCCAGTTGCTCGTTGACCAATATCTTCAATTCCAATTCCCGCAATAATGCATTTTTCGCAAAGAATCTCAGCAACAATCAACAAAGGGACGTGTTTATACCCCGCGTTGTTTACACCAACAGCCATTGGATGTTCTTGGGACGTTTCTGCGTCAAAAAAACAAAACCTCACTGGAAATTTTGCCTCCCTACGTCTCTGTAATTGTTGTTGTTGTTGTTCTGGCTGTTGAGTTTGCTCATGATCATTTTCAGCTATTTAAAGAATTTTTTCATATTAAAAGTTAATAAAATACCTATAGAAGATTCAAAAATATTTTCTTCTTCTTCTTCCCCTCGAGCAATTATAGAATGTTCATTAGCCTTGAGTGGTTGAATAAAACATGGGTGTTCTGGTAGGTGAGGCCCTCGACATTTAAGACAGTTGCTCAATTGCCCATTCAATGTTTGTTGGTGTTGACGTTGTTGTTCTTCAACACAGTTGTGAAGTTGTTGTTGCTGTTGCCCAAATATAATGCGATTACAGCGTGAACAGATTCTCCTAGATTGACAAATTGATGCAAAAGGTCGTGTTCTTGGGCTTGCCATCTCCGCAGGAACTTGATTAGTCAAGTGGTTTTCATAGCAACCCCGCTGTGGAAAGACAAAACCACAATCATTGCATGGAATTCTTTCAATCAGTTGACATGGAAAATTTGCTCCATAACGCATACAAAGTCGGCAGATAACGGTACAACCAGACCAATGACGCAAACGTGTAACAGACCTTTCACAATCTATGCAGAAACGATGGGCATGGAAAAGTTGTTCAGGTCTCTCCATATAATTATAATGCCCATTTTCCAACAAAATACAGATGTTAAAACGTGCAGCACGGCCCTCGCCTAGTTAACAAATTATTTAAATATTAAGAGTATTCAATAATAATACCTTTAAAAACAATTTTATATTGCTGCTCCTTTTCAAAAATAACAATTCTTATTTGTCCTTCGCCTCCCATATTTTCATTAATATAACGCTGCAACGCGGGGACATGGTTGAGTGAATATTCATTTAAATTTAGTGGAAGACCAGAATTTTGCATTAGCTCGATTACATCATTTAAATGCTCCTCCTGTTGTCTACAAAAAGCTCGAAAATGATGCTTCCGTTGTTGAGTGGAGACCCCTCTTACATTTAAATCAATTAAATTGATCCTTGTAAGTCCAATATAAATTGAGCGAGCAAGACAAAACCTATCATTTGGGTTGATAACTTTGATAATGGAGCGGCATTGTGATGTTATAACATGTTCTTGATCAGTATCACATCCACCTTGAATAACAGAAATGCCTTACATAATTATTTAAATATGTAAAAAACAAAACTGTTACTCACCTCTATGATCTTCTGGATTTGAAGTGCGTTGAGAATTGAGCGGCCATACTGCTATTACTTTAGTAGTAGTAGTACCTAGCAAGAGATCTATGCCGGCCTGACTAATTTCATTCAGTCTCTCTATAGCTGCCGCCATGGCCCCCGCATTATTTTGAGCTGGAGGGCGAAGCGGGACGGTGAATGGATTATTAAATGATGGAGGATGAAGTTGAAGACCAATGAGCCGTGGTTCAGGACGATCAGCTAAAACCCGGTCCAGAAGACGAGAAATAAGTGTTGTTAAGGTTAAGTCCGGCCTAGCTTGGTCTTCAAAAGGCGTGAACCTAACGTTGCAAATTTCGCCGAATGTATTTCGCGACCTTGATCTAAGTTCGCGGACAGATTCGATAATAAAAGGATCATTCATTTCATGATGATTTTGTTGTTGGTGATGTTGTTGTGCTGAATTACTTATCTGAAATTTAAAAACTGTTAATTATTTTATTGCCTGTTTTATTTATATGGTGAAGCGAAGGATTTGGTTCAATATCAAGTGTGATAGATAAATTTAATGAAACATTACAATTAAAGTAAACTTATTTTTAATTTTTAACACATTTTTTTACTAAGATTATATTTTAGTATTGAAACTTTATTTTTATCATTATTTAAAAAATTATATAATTATTATTTATCCATAAATAAATATAAAAAAACATAAAAGGCATACAAAAGTTATTCATAAAAGGCATAAAAAAGTTGCAATTAAAGTTATGGGTGTAATTATTAAAAATATTTTTAAATTAATACTTTTTCTGACATTTAAAAATGACACTAAGGATAAAATAATAAATATAATAAAGGCCCCCTTACTTTTTCCCCCGCCTTTCCCAAGGATTCCCAATATAAATTTAGAAATGTAAGAAAAACTTTTGAATGGGAATCCCTGGGGTCTTGCGAGTTTGCCTATGTTGTTGTGCCGCGAACTAAATCACGACGACACTCAGGGCAGACCCGGTAAGTCTGTGAAAGCTTTTCAAAACACGTCCAGCACATTTTGTGCCCACACACTGGAATAACCACTAAAGTTTCAACAGTAAATTTCTCTAGGCAAATAGCGCAGAAAGGTCCCACCTCTCCCTCCTCTTGTTGTTGCAGATAAGTTGGTGATAAAGTGTCCGCTGAGGCGACAAATTTTTCAATTTCGAATTGGCTAAGTCCAACACCGGCTTGAAAATCAGGAGGCTCCAGAACCGTCCCCACTCCTTCTTCCAAAACCTCCACATCGTCTTCCTCTTCTTCTTCGTTCTCATGCATATTTAACACATCTGGTGGTGGGGTCCTACCAAGCCGACCTCTAAGCCGTGGTGATGACACGCGCGCCCCTCCTCGACGAGCAGTCTGTCGTTGCCCTTCTCGTGTGCGGGTCTCTTGGAAAAATTCGAGAAGTGATCTTGGCTGAGAAGGCTGAAAATTTTATTTCAGCTTTTAAATTCATATAAATATATAATTTAATTTTTACTCTAAATTTTTATATGTTTTTTTTGTTTTACATTTCGATTGCATTTATTTACTAATTTATTTAAAATTGCATCAAATTAATTAAATTTATTTAAAGTATATTTATTTTTATTAAATTAATTAATTATTATATAATTATTTTTAGTTCATTAAAATTTAAATTATTTTAATTTTATTACATCAATTATTATTATAATTTATTTGAATATTTAAAATTAATTGAATCAAATTTATTAAATTTATTTAAATTATATTTATTTCATTAAATTAATTATTAGTAAAATTATTGTTAATTCATTTAAATTAAAATTATTTAATTTTATTACATTAATTATTATAATTTATTTGAACATTTTAAAATTAATTATTAGTATAATTATTGTTAATTCATTTAAATTAAAATTATTTAATTTTATTACATTAATTATTATTATTATTTATTTGCGCATTTCAAAATTACTTGAATTAAATTAATTACATTTATTTAAATTAAATTTATTAAATTAATTATTAGTATAATTATTGTTAATTCATTTAAATTAAATTAATTATTATAATTTATTGGAACATTTTAAAATTAATTGAATTAAATTTATTTAAATTACATTTATTTTATTAAATTAATTATTAGTATAATTATTGTTAATTTATTTAAATTAAAATTATTTTAATTTTATTACATTAATTATAATTTATTTAAATATTTTAAAATTAATTGAATTAAATTAATTAAATTTATTTAAATTGAAATTATTTAATTAAATTAATTATTAGTATAATTATTGTTAATTCATTTAAATTAACATTATATAATTTTATTACATTAATTATTATAATTTATTTGAACATTTTAAAATTAATTGAATTAAATTAATTAAATTTATTTAAATTAAATTTATTTTATTAAATTAATTATTAGTATAATTAATATTAATTGAATTAAATTAATTAAATTTATTTAAATTAAATTTATTTTATTAAATTAATTATAGTATAATTATTGTTAATTCATTTAAATTAAAATTATTTAATTTTATTACATTAATTATTATTATAATTTATTTGCGCATTTCAAAATTAATTGAATTAAATTAATTACATTTATTTAAATTAAAATTATTTAATTTTATTACATTAAATATTATTATAATTTATTGGAACATTTTAAAATTAATTGAATTAAATTTATTTAAATTACATTTATTTTATTAAATTAATTATTAGTATAATTATTGTTAATTTATTTAAATTAAAATTATTTTAATTTTATTGCATTAATTATAATTTATTTAAATATTTTAAAATTAATTGAATTAAATTAATTAAATTTATTTAAATTAAATTTATTTAATTAAATTAATTATTAGTATAATTATTGTTAATTCATTTAAATTAACATTATATAATTTTATTACATTAATTATTATAATTTATTTGAACATTTTAAAATTAATTGAATTAAATTAATTAAATTTATTTAAATTAAATTTATTTTATTAAATTAATTATTAGTATAATTAATATTAATTGAATTAAATTAATTAAATTTATTTAAATTAAATTTATTTTATTAAATTAATTATAGTATAATTATTGTTAATTCATTTAAATTAAAATTATTTAATTTTATTACATTAATTATTATTATAATTTATTTGCGCATTTCAAAATTAATTGAATTAAATTAATTACATTTATTTAAATTAAAATTATTTAATTTTATTACATTAAATATTATTATAATTTATTGGAACATTTTAAAATTAATTGAATTAAATTTATTTAAATTACATTTATTTTATTAAATTAATTATTAGTATAATTATTGTTAATTTATTTAAATTAAAATTATTTTAATTTTATTGCATTAATTATAATTTATTTAAATATTTTAAAATTAATTGAATTAAATTAATTAAATTTATTTAAATTAAATTTATTTAAATTAAAATTATTTAATTTTATTACATTATTTATTATTATAATTTATTTGAATGTTTTAAAATTAATTGAATTGAATTAATTAAATTTATTTAAATTACATTTATTTTTATTGTAATAACTTAATTATTAGTATAATTATTATTATTAATTTATTTAAATTAAAATTATTTTACTTTTATTACATTAATTATTATAATTTATTTAAATATTTTAAAATTAATTGTATTAAATTAATTAAATTATTTAAATTACATTCATTTTTATATTATTACATTAGTTATTAGTATAATTATTGTTAAATCTATTTACATTAAATTTTATTTGAATTTTTTGCTTCTCTTATTAGTAGTATAATTTATTTACAATTAATTAAATTGACTAAATGAATTAAATTTATTTGAATTTTAGTGGTTTTATTATTAACATTATAACTTATTTAAAATTAATTAAATTAATTGAGTTAAATTAAATTTAGTAAATTTATTTGAATTAAAATTAATGAAATTGACTCTGTTAAAAAAAATATTTAAATGAATTAAATTAAATTGATTATCATATTTATTATAAAATAAAAGTTAAATTACAAATTGCAATTAAAAAAATTCAATTAATAACATTATTTTTAAAAAATCAATTTTTTTATTGCTAAATAAATATTTAAAAACATCTCTTTTCTTTTTTTTCTATTAAAACTCGCGCATATTCCTACATCTCAAATTTAATTAAATATTATAAAAATTAATTTACAAGTTTTTTAAAAAAAATAAATCTACCCCCTGACTAGATCCACGAGAGCCCCCGCTGAGATTTGCATTTCTAATCGCACGACCCTTTAAAAATTTAAATTTAAGCGATTAAATAAAAAAATTGATGTACCCCACGCGATGAACCACTTGTCCCCGGATTTCCACTAACATCGTTCATAACCATTTGGTTCTATAAAAATTAAATTTGTTAAATTTTGCTATATTTCTGCAAATTATACCCCACGAGCTGATGATGATCCAATAACTGGGAGTCCTGCGCCCCCGCTTTCACTCATGTTGGACATTGGAGTTCCCATGTTATTGTTGGCAGTTATTCCGAAATTATTATTATTGCTTATAATTCCACTGTTGTTTCCATTTGCATCCTCCCGTGGAGTTGCTGGCATTGCATTGCCAATAATTTGCATAGTACTGGACCTCGAGAATCTCAAAACATAAGGAAGAGATCCTGTCCAATTATTGCGAGCCCCCGTTTGTTCTACAATTGTCAACATAGAAAGTCTAACAATCTAAAATTTTATAATAATAATTAAATTGATTTTAAAAAATTACATCATTTTGCCGAGCAGGTTCTAAAATTTGCGCACAACCATCGTAACCATAAATCCCAATAGATTGAAGATCATTTGTGGAGCCCACCTCCAGCAGCAAATCCGCCCTATCAAAAGCCCTCCGCATTGTAGGTCCTCTATGGGAATAAGTGACACGACCTGTTAGACTACTAAAAAATTTAAAAAAAGTAAAAGGAGACAAACTCGAATAGATGAGTCGCGCGCCACCCGCAGAAAAGGTAGTTACTAGACGTATAAAAAGTTCTCGGATCCAAATTTGGAATTTGAAGAGCTGCTGCTGGAACCGCCACCGCCGTTGCTCTAGCCCTTTCAGCTGCAATTATTCCTTCAATCTGAAAGTAAATCCAAATTTTAGTTTAGTTCGCTTAAATATTTTAAATTTTTGTTTTGAAAGTAGAAAATTTTTTAAAATAACTTAATATTAAATTTAATAATTAATTAAAAAATTACATCAAGCCCCACGCTGTTATTGTCGTTGTTTACAATATCCATTCGCTGCCTTCGGGCTTGCGGCTCACCATCCTGGGAATTTGGAGTTGTTGTTGAAGTTCTACGACTCATTATTATTATTAACTGGAATTAAAATTAATAAATATAGATTAAAATAAATTTTTTAAAGTAAAAGCAATATGGAGGGGAAATAATAGAAATGGAAAAAATAAGCAAAAATAAATAAACTGATCACTTAAAAGTAAGATTGAAATTTTTACGCCTCCTCTGGACGTTTAGCCACGTCCACTTTTTTTAACTTTACTTAAAAAATGTTTAGTTACTTGATAGATAAGATCGGGTAAGAACAAAAAATAGAGTTGGGGGAACTTAGCTCTACAACTTTGCCCCCGCTCTGTTTAACCACGTCCCTTTTGTTTAGTTAAAAAAACAACTTCTAAAATTGTTTAGTTATATAGGTTACGAAAGTTGCAAAGAGAAAAAATTTTTGAATGATTAAAAATTAAATAAAGTGCTCATTTAAAAATGAAAAGAAATATTTTTACTTAAAAATAAACTTAGCTCTACAAAAAAAAAAGAGCGGGGGCAACTTAGCTCTACAACTTTGCCCCGCTTAATTTAACCACGTCCCTTTTGTTTGGTTAAAAAACTTTAAAATTGTTTAGCTAATTAAAAGATAATATCAGCAAAACTCATAGTTTAGGACAAATTTTTTATATGAATGCAAAAAATAGTTTATTGAATAATTAAATTTTTTAAGTTTTGTATTTCCTTTTGGTTAAATTTTAGATTAAAAAATTTTGGATTAAAACATTTTTGATTAAAAAATTTTAGATTAAAAAACTTTAGATTAAAAAATTTTATATTAAAAATATTTATATTAAAAAAATTTTCTGTATTAATAAAATTTTTTAAAAAAAAATTAAAAAAATTTTTTGTATTAAAAAATGTATTTTATATTAAAAAAATTTTATTTTAAAAGAATTTTTTAGATTAAAAAATTTTATATTAAAAATTATTATTTTAAAAGAATTTTTTAGATTAAAAAATTTTATATTAAATTTTATATTAAAATTTTTAGATTAAAAAATTTTTTAGATTAAAAAATTTTATATTAAAAATTATTATTTTAAAAGAATCTTTTAGATTAAAAAATTTTATATTAAATTTTATATTAAAAAATTTTTACATTAGAAAAATATTAGATTAAAAAATTTTGGATTAAAACATTTTTGATCAAAAAATTTTAGATTAAACAAACTAGATTAAAAAATTTTAAATTAAAAAATTTTATATTAAAAAATTTTAGATTAAAAAAATTTCATATTAAAGGAATTTTAGATTAAAAAAAATTTTAGATTTAAAAATTTAGATTAAAAGCATTTTAGATTAAAAAATTTTAGAGTAAAAAAACATTTAACAAATTAATATTTTAAATTAAAAATAAAATTAATCCAATCCAATATCGTCATCATCATCACTATCCGTCTCGTCCCACATTGATCTTGAAGCCCCCGCTTTGTCTTTATCGCCATCATCACTATACGGCTCGTCCCACATTGATCTCGAAGCCCCCGGTTTGGCTTTATTCTCGACATCCTGCCGAGTTTGAAGCGTTTCATTGTGGACATCCTTATAGCGCGGGGCATTACAAAAGTTTGCTTTGTGCCCCTAAACAAATTATATTTTATTTATTTATTTAAAAGAATATTTTTACAGTTTTGCCACAGTTCCAACACTTGCTCGGCTGCCCCCGCTTAGCAATTCCTCTTGCATCAGGATGAGTAAATGGACACGTGTTGGCACTATGGGTTTTGGTCCACTGCCCGCATGAAAAACACCTCAGCTTACAACCAACCACCCACACATTGCCCGCACTGTCCTTTCGCCCAGAGCCCCCGCCATTACTGCAGAATCTTGTCTATATAAACATATTTTGTTTCGTTAAAAATACAAAAAATAGACCTGATGCCCCACGCTCCCACAATGTAAACATTGGCCCCCACTTGGATCCTTTACAACCGGTTCCCTCTTTCCATAAAGCCTGATCGCTTCAGCAAGACTCAAATGTTGTTCATGTGCTGCCGGGTCCGCGCTCAAGTCCCAGAGGCGATATCCATCAGTATTAACTTGGTTCATTGCTAAAATAACTTTTTTAATATTCCTAAAATAACTTTTTTAATACCCCAATATTTTCAACTCAAGAAAGATTTTTTAAAAAATTTTGGTTTACCCCAATATTTTCGAAAATATATACCCCCCCCCCCCAAAATAAACAAAACAATAATAATAATAAAACCTTCTATATAAGCCTGTGCCCCCGCTTGCCCTTCTTGAATAAGATAGCCAAAAGCCTTGTGTGCCAGTTGACAAGCCTCTAATCCCCCAGCCCCCGCTTTATCAGTATGCCATTTCAGCAGACATTTTCTTGCCACTCTCTTCACTAAAATTTTTTATTTATTAAATTTATTAAAATTTATTAAAATTATTAAATTTATTAAAATTAATCAAACAAACATTCATCCCACGATCTAAGAGATCGGCGTCCCTCAACATCCACGTCCAAGCATGCCCCCGCGTCAAACAATGCCACAAAATCCATATGCCCAAAGCAGCTCACAAAATTAAACAAAAAAGCCACAATCTCCGCAAAAATAATTTGCGGATGCACATATTTCCTTTCAGTCCTACAATTTTTAACATTAAAGTTTGCCCGATTATTATAAAAATTAAACCTGAACACTCCTTCCCCATTACCATCCACACCAATCTTCACTTCCTGATCCACATAAGGCGAATTTAAGCCCCCGCGGGTAAAATAGGCAGATTTCTTTACAATATCTTCAATATCCTTTTTCTCTACATTATAGCCCCCGCTCATTATTAAAATTTAAAATAATTATCTAAAATTTAAACATTGAAGAATAAAAGTAAAAATATTTTATGAGTCATTATTTTTTTATTTTGGTCAAAAACATAAGCTTAAAAATGGATTGGCAAAAAAAAAGAGAAAAAACGGACGCTAACAAGTAACAAACATAGGAAGATATCGATTTAGCCTTTTATTTTCTTTTATTGTCCATTTTTTGTTTTTGGCGTTTTCACTTTTTTCCATTTGAAATTTGTCATTTTTAAATTCGACATTTTGACAATTGACGTTTTGCAATGGTGATCTTTTGTCCGCCCCCGCGGAAACTATTCTTCGACTTTTGGGTTGGATTGCAGGCGGCGGGCTTGGTTGCGGGGGGACCCCTCCCCTATTAAATGAGCGATTAATCAATCGATAATTTAATAGGGGACAGATAGTAGTAATGCTTCAATTCAAAACTGAAGCACAGAAAATGCTTCAATTAAAACTGAAGCACAGTAAATGCTTCAATTCAAAACTGAAGCACAGAAAATGCTTCAATTCAAAACTGAAGCACAGAAAATGCTTCAATTCAAAACTGAAGCACAGTAAATGCTTCAATTCAAAACTGAAGCACAGAAAATGCTTCAATTAAAACTGAAGCACAGAAAATGCTTCAATTCAAAACTGAAGCACAGTAAATGCTTCAATTAAAACTGAAGCATAGAAAATGCTTCAATTCAAAACTGAAGCACAGAAAATGCTTCAATTAAAACTGAAGCACAGTAAATGCTTCAATTCAAAACTGAAGCACAGAAAATGATTCAATTCAAAACTGAAGCACAGAAAATGCTTCAATTCAAAACTGAAGCACAGTAAATGCTTCAATTCAAAACTGAAGCACAGAAAATGCTTCAATTCAAAACTGAAGCACAGTAAATGCTTCAATTCAAAACTGAAGCACAGAAAATGCTTCAATTAAAACTGAAGCACAGAAAATGCTTCAATTAAAACTGAAGCATAGAAAATGCTTCAATTCAAAACTGAAGCACAGAAAATGCTTCAATTAAAACTGAAGCACAGAAAATGCTTCAATTCAAAACTGAAGCACAGAGAATGCTTCAATTCAAAACTGAAGCACAGAAAATGCTTCAATTCAAAACTGAAGCCAGAAAATGCTTCAACTCAAAACTGAAGCACAGAAAATGCTTCAACTCAAAACTGAAGCACAGAAAATGCTTCAACTCAAAACTGAAGCACAGAAAATAAAATAAATTTTTTATAGTTTCAAGAATATTTTTGTTAACAATTTCCAAAATTGCACAGCGACAGATATTTTGTGTTAAAATTATGACTATTATAAAAAGAAGTTATTTTCATTAATAAATATGTAATGATTCCACATTATCTTGGATCACAGAAAATTCTTCAATTCAAAACTGAAGCACAGAAAATGCTTCAATTCTAAACTGAAGCACAGAAAATGCTTCAATTCTAAACTGAAGCACGAAAATGCTTCAATTCAAAACTGAAGCACAAGAAATGCTTCAATTAAAACTGAAGCACAGAAAATGCTTCAATTCAAAACTGAAGCACAGAGAATGCTTCAATTCAAAACTGAAGCACAGAAAATGCTTCAATTCAAAACTGAAGCCAGAAAATGCTTCAATTCAAAACTGAAGCACAGAAAATGCTTCAATTCTAAACTGAAGCACGAAAATGCTTCAATTCAAAACTGAAGCACAAGAAATGCTTCAATTCAAAACTGAAGCACAGAAAATGCTTCAATTCAAAACTGAAGCACAGAAAATGCTTCAATTCAAAACTGAAGCACAGAAAATGCTTCAATTCAAAACTGAAGCAAAGAAAATGCTTCAATTCAAAACTGAAGCACAGTAAATGCTTCAATTCAAAACTGAAGCACAGAAAATGCTTCAATTCAAAACTGAAGCACAGAAAATGCTTCAATTCAAAACTGAAGCACAGTAAATGCTTCAATTCAAAACTGAAGCACAGAAAATGCTTCAATTAAAACTGAAGCACAGAAAATGCTTCAATTCAAAACTGAAGCACAGAGAATGCTTCAATTCAAAACTGAAGCACAGAAAATGCTTCAATTCAAAACTGAAGCACAGTAAATGCTTCAATTCAAAACTGAAGCACAGAAAATGCTTCAATTCAAAACTGAAGGACAGAAAATGCTTCAATTCAAAACTGAAGCCAGAAAATGCTTCAACTCAAAACTGAAGCACAGAAAATGCTTCAACTCAAAACTGAAGCACAGAAAATGCTTCAATTCAAAACTGAAGCACAGAAAATGATTCAATTCAAAACTGAAGCACAGAAAATGCTTCAATTCAAAACTGAAGCACAGTAAATGCTTCAATTCAAAACTGAAGCACAGAAAATGCTTCAATTCAAAACTGAAGCACAGTAAATGCTTCAATTCAAAACTGAAGCACAGAAAATGCTTCAATTAAAACTGAAGCACAGAAAATGCTTCAATTAAAACTGAAGCATAGAAAATGCTTCAATTCAAAACTGAAGCACAGAAAATGCTTCAATTAAAACTGAAGCACAGAAAATGCTTCAATTCAAAACTGAAGCACAGAGAATGCTTCAATTCAAAACTGAAGCACAGAAAATGCTTCAATTCAAAACTGAAGCACGAAAATGCTTCAATTCAAAACTGAAGCACAAGAAATGCTTCAATTAAAACTGAAGCACAGAAAATGCTTCAATTCAAAACTGAAGCACAGAGAATGCTTCAATTCAAAACTGAAGCACAGAAAATGCTTCAATTCAAAACTGAAGCCAGAAAATGCTTCAATTCAAAACTGAAGCACAGAAAATGCTTCAATTCTAAACTGAAGCACGAAAATGCTTCAATTCAAAACTGAAGCACAAGAAATGCTTCAATTAAAACTGAAGCACAGAAAATGCTTCAATTCAAAACTGAAGTACAGAGAATGCTTCAATTCAAAACTGAAGCACAGAAAATGCTTCAATTCAAAACTGAAGCCAGAAAATGCTTCAACTCAAAACTGAAGCACAGAAAATGCTTCAACTCAAAACTGAAGCACAGAAAATTAAATTTTTTATAGTTTCAAGAATATTTTTGTTAACAATTTCCAAAATTGCACAGCGACATATATTTTATGATAAAATTATGACTATTATAAAAAGAAGTTATTTTCATTAATAAATATGTAATGAGTCCACATTATCTGGGATCACAGAAAATGCCTCAATTCAAAACTGAAGCACAAGAAATGCTTCAATTAAAACTGAAGCACAGAAAATGCTTCAATTCAAAACTGAAGCACAGAGAATGCTTCAATTCAAAACTGAAGCACAGAAAATGCTTCAATTCAAAACTGAAGCCAGAAAATGCTTCAACTCAAAACTGAAGCACAGAAAATTAAATTTTTTATAGTTTCAAGAATATTTTTGTTAACAATTTCCAAAATTGCACAGCGACAGATATTTTGTGTTAAAATTATGACTATTATAAAAAGAAGTTATTTTCATTAATAAATATGTAATGAGTCCACATTATCTGGGATCACAGAAAATGCTTCAATTCAAAACTGAAGCACAGAAAATGCTTCAATTCAAAACTGAAGCACAGAAAATGCTTCAATTCAAAACTGAAGCACAGAAAATGCTTCAATTAAAACTGAAGCACAGAAAATGCTTCAATTCAAAACTGAAGCACAGAGAATGCTTCAATTCAAAACTGAAGCACAGAAAATGCTTCAATTCAAAACTGAAGCACAGAAAATGCTTCAATTAAAACTGAAGCACAGAAAATGCTTCAATTAAAACTGAAGCATAGAAAATGCTTCAATTCAAAACTGAAGCACAGAAAATGCTTCAATTAAAACTGAAGCACAGAAAATGCTTCAATTCAAAACTGAAGCACAGAGAATGCTTCAATTCTAAACTGAAGCACGAAAATGCTTCAATTCAAAACTGAAGCACAAGAAATGCTTCAATTAAAACTGAAGCACAGAAAATGCTTCAATTCAAAACTGAAGCACAGAGAATGCTTCAATTCAAAACTGAAGCACAGAAAATGCTTCAATTCAAAACTGAAGCCAGAAAATGCTTCAATTCAAAACTGAAGCACAGAAAATGCTTCAATTCTAAACTGAAGCACGAAAATGCTTCAATTCAAAACTGAAGCACAAGAAATGCTTCAATTAAAACTGAAGCACAGAAAATGCTTCAATTCAAAACTGAAGTACAGAGAATGCTTCAATTCAAAACTGAAGCACAGAAAATGCTTCAATTCAAAACTGAAGCCAGAAAATGCTTCAACTCAAAACTGAAGCACAGAAAATGCTTCAACTCAAAACTGAAGCACAGAAAATTAAATTTTTTATAGTTTCAAGAATATTTTTGTTAACAATTTCCAAAATTGCACAGCGACATATATTTTATGATAAAATTATGACTATTATAAAAAGAAGTTATTTTCATTAATAAATATGTAATGAGTCCACATTATCTGGGATCACAGAAAATGCCTCAATTCAAAACTGAAGCACAAGAAATGCTTCAATTAAAACTGAAGCACAGAAAATGCTTCAATTCAAAACTGAAGCACAGAGAATGCTTCAATTCAAAACTGAAGCACAGAAAATGCTTCAATTCAAAACTGAAGCCAGAAAATGCTTCAACTCAAAACTGAAGCACAGAAAATTAAATTTTTTATAGTTTCAAGAATATTTTTGTTAACAATTTCCAAAATTGCACAGCGACAGATATTTTGTGTTAAAATTATGACTATTATAAAAAGAAGTTATTTTCATTAATAAATATGTAATGAGTCCACATTATCTGGGATCACAGAAAATGCTTCAATTCAAAACTGAAGCACAGAAAATGCTTCAATTCAAAACTGAAGCACAGAAAATGCTTCAATTCAAAACTGAAGCACAGAAAATGCTTCGATTCAAAACTGAAGCACAGAAAATGCTTCAATTCAAAACTGAAGCACAGTAATGCTTCAATTCAAAACTGAAGCA